TTTCTCCCCAAAGCCCCAGTAGATAGTTGTATGTCATAGTTGCACATCCTTCTATTTGCTGTATGTGGTACGCCACCTCAACATGGCCAGACAAGCGGTGCGTCAGTGCGTGCCGGGGATCCAAACCCGGCTTGCCAGTAGCGGAGCGCGCACTTAACCACTAAGCCATGGGGCCGGCCCAAGACAAGTAATCTTAAAGGCAAGAAAGAAAAATATTCTTAGGTAGGTTAAAAGAGAAGAGTACGAACATGTGGTTTGTATTAAACTGTCTTTGCTCATGAATCATGAAGTGAATAAATACTCAGAGTGCCATCCATTAGAGCTTTAGGAACAAGAGAACATGACCTCTGGTGCTCTGCCCGTCAAGACAGGGTGAGCAAGGAATGAAAACTCCAACAAGCCCTGGAACCAACGTGCCACTTTGTCACTTCCTGCTCCTGTTATCCAAGGCCTGGCACAGACAGGAGTCCTAATGAAGACTTGTTGAATAAATTTAAAAAATGAGCGACCATTGTAAGCAAGCAAATTCACGAGAAACTCAGCTGAAATATTTTTGCTTCCTAAGGTTTTAGAGCGTGCCTTCATGCTGGAATTCGTCCATCCTTCCCTTCCCTCCTCTGCCCCCCTTGACACATCACACTGCCTCCTGCCACCAGCTTTCTTGGTAATGCTTTAGCTAAGACTGGAAAAAATTTTTCTTGCAACTATGTAAGTAGATTACATCGTTTTGACGGTTTCGTTCACATCTTGAGTGGGTATTTATGTAACCATAAATCAGCAATGCCTTGCCTACTAACTTAAAAAAAATACACCTGTGAAACAGATTATAATGTAGCTCATTTACAAGCTTCCAATGTGAAGAATGATGAGCAGAATTTTGCCACACTTCAGGCCAAAAGCAACAGACACATACTAAAATTCCCTGTAGGTTTAGCGTGGCCTTTCAAAGTGTAATAACTAGAGCAAACAGAGATACTGCTGTTATAAAAAATTGGTTCTCACACACCCTAAAGTGCATGATGATGATTTGCAAATGTTTTCCTTCAATCTTCCTTGAAAGTTGTAGGATTCCCTGTCAATTTAATCTATTTCAGCTTTTCATGTTAATTTTTTCAATGTTAGATTGCTTTTGCTTAAAGAAATACAAGGACCCCGGCTCTTATTAGTCTCCTTCTAGAACACATATGAGCTTTAAAACTTTAGACAGGAAAGAGCAGAACACAGAAATAATCAGCACAACATTCATTATTTCAAAGCCACAGGATCAGAATTTTTGCTTTATTTTTTTCCATAGTCTTAAATCTAGAAAGAACTTTTTATAAAAGAGCTGAAATATAACTTAAGTTTACGCCATGAGTTCCTCATACAGCTCATCACCAAATAGCACATGGCCTTGAAAAAATTGCTCTAGGTTTTCAATTTTAAACTAAAAAAGATAAAGACACAAGACCTTTGTGAGTTGTAACTCTGTAAACATCATTTCCACATAGTTTTTGGTGACTAATAAAAATAATTTTAAAAGATGGCTTCATATCTAAATAGTTTTATAAAAATCTAATTAAAAAGAGCATTAAAAATGCTCTATGAAGATAAGATCAAAAATAAACAAACAGGGATTACAGGAGAAACATCTTGAAGGACCCACGTCCTGCCCAGTACTGGGAGAGGGGAAGGAGGATTCAACTTTCCCTGGGTGGGGTAGGGTCAGGGGGCTGAAAAAAGTAAAACAATCAAAATGTCCCCAAAGTGCCTCTGGCCAAGTGGGTTTCTACCTTAGGTTGAGACGAGAAGGGTGGAGGAGAGGAGCTTGGACATTTCAGGGTTTCGGTTACGGCTGCAGGAAATTGTCTCAGCAGACAAAGGAGCAAGGGTGCCACAGAGAGAAGGTGTTGGAGATTCCACTAGCAGGCTCACGCTGTAGGTGTTAGGCACAAAATCTCTTTGAAGCACTTGGGCCCCACTGCTGAGGCCTGGAGACCAAAAAGCCACAGGTCACGGTACACACACGGGTAGAGTGCAATCAAGAGGAGCCATTTCACCCCTACGGCATCTCTCTCACACTGTCGTATGCTATGTTGTGCATCTAATATCTGACCTTAAAAACTCAACACAAGAAAAACAAAACAGTTGACTGACCTCCTCTTCCGTAGAGCTCAGGCACACGTTTGTGAGGGTTTTATGAGGGTGCTCCTAGTGACACACAGCATGCTGTCACTAAAGTTGACCTGCCACTCCCAAGAAATGCTACTGGGCTGGACCACGATTTGGCTGCTACTCTCATCCCTAAGATGGGTTCTTTCCTGGGATGTCCTTTGTCATCTCATGCAAACGAATCCCTGGTGAGTTCACGCTAAGATCCTTGGAACCAGCCTAGAAAAGTATGAAGCCTAGGGCAGTGCAGTTTAGGCTAAGCTAGGGATCCTCAGAGCATAAGGGTATAATTAAAATGTAGTGTATTATATGACTATGTTAAGACATTTCATACAATGATGTCAGATCCTGGATATGCATCCAATCAACTGTGAAACTCCTATCTGATAAAACCAGGTTCTAGAAGGAATTTGATAAAAATTCCACATACACTAGTAATGGTGACACAACACTGATATTCCTTTTAAAGCAAGAAAAAGCAAAAACAAGGAAAGAACAGGCCTATGATATTTTATTCTCAATTCTGAAATCTCTGAAGCTCTAAAAAGCTGAAATCTTTTTCTCATTTGGTGGCACAACCTGAGCTGAATAGTCTTTATTTATGATGCTTATTGTAAATATTTATATATATTGCTGCAAAAACATTCATGTGTTTGATTATGAGAATCCAGCTATCTTCTATTAGCCAGACATCAAAGAGATTTGCAAAAACATAAAAAATAAACATACAAAAATCAGGGGGAGGATATAGATATAACATGATTGAACATCTGTTGTTGAAGCTGGTAATGAGGATGTGGGAGGGCTATCATTATATTATGCTTCTTACTTCTGTGTATATTTGTAAATAAATAAGAAGTTAATAAATATAAAGGTGATGAAGTAAATAATAAAATAAACATTTAAAACATAAAATTAAACCAAACAAGCAAGTAAAAAAAGATTTAGAAAATTTGCAAGAACTGTCCTATGCCATAGAGAGTGTTCTCAGTCATATTTATTTAGGCTATGTACTGCTCCACTTATTATAAAATACACACCTTAAAATTAGATTTCTTTTACTGTTATCATTTCCTCTTATTATTTCAAATTTGTTACACCAAATTTTCCCCCCAAATTATAATTGATAATGAGAAAGTAAATTTGTCTTCCAACTCCTTAAAAACAGTTTGCTTTGTTTTTTGGGCTTCCTCCCATATGATAGAGGTAGAGATGGGCAAAAGGAGTAATTTAGAAAAAAAGAAAGAAAACACGAAAATACTGGAAATCCACAACTGGTTATAACCCAAGTAGGACAGAAAAATTTAAAAAGGAAAGACTTCTGGGAGCATGAAGATGAGATTGAGCTTTGTAGAGGTGAGTTTATCAAGTTGGGGAGATGGGACAGAGGGAGAAACAGAGGAAGAGAAAGGAGAAGGAGGAAGGTGATAAAGACTGTTACTTATCAGATGCAGAAATGAGGCAAATGAAGGTCAAGCAAGGAAAAAAAGGAGCTTTCATTCTTAGTTATCAGCATCAAATGGTCAACAATACATCCAAAAGCACAGCTCTAGCTGAAGAACTTGTCTTCCCTATAGTCAACTGATATTTATATAGATATTCATATCTGGCTGATGTCCTGCACCTATGAAGTGAAAAAAATCAAGTAATTCATTGTGATGAGAAATTACATTCTGAAAGAAAATTTCTTTCCTGATTAAAAATGAAGAAGGAAAAGTTACTGTCAGAGGTGAGGAAGTAGCATTACCCTGAGTTGTCTTGGCCAGCTCAGTTGTTCGTGGGATCTTAGTGGTGAAGAGTTCTTGGGTGGACTCGTCTGTTTCTTCTGGGGAAAAACACAGTAAGATGGCTTCCTTTAATAATTGTCATTATGAACATGTAAAAAAAACCCACACTCTTTTCTGCCCCATGCGATGAGCAAAGGGTAAATTGCATTTATAAGTGTGTCCAGTAATCATAATGATTCAAAGTTAATGGTACATTGAAATAACTTTCACTTATTACATTTGCTGTTTTCTTGCACTGTTATTTTAATGACTATTATAAGGATTTCCAAAAGCTTTTAGCTCAGGATCATTGTTGCAGGATCCTGGATGTGACTATAAAAAGTGTGCCTCCTAACTGCCTTCCTGTCTCCACCCTGTTCCAGAAATTCCACAAGTTATTTGGGTGAACTGGAAAAGAAACAGATCAGATGAAAAGATGCATATGTACACCACATAAGAATAAAAATTCTTCTATTTTCCTCATGTGAAAATCAAAGTCTATGTTTACTGACATACGGGCACATTTCTCCTGACAAAATAAAAAACCAGTATAGCAGTAGTTCCACCCCTAACATTATCTTGCAATCATTACGACATCATACAGACATAGAAAATTACCTGGTTCCCTTTGCCACATACTGGATCCAAGAAACTACTTGGTACAAATAATATACTGTCGTCTTTTTTCTGCCCTGCTCTACAATCTGGATTCTATCGCAAGAGAGATACTTGTGATAGAGGGCAGGTGATGGTTCTTGCTTCAATAAACCAAGATACATTAAAAAAAATAGGGAGTGGATGCTAGATCATCAGCACGTCCGGCAGTGATTCTTGACAAGTACTTTTGACTTCGCCATCACGGGTGACGTTGACTTTGTAGGTCTTGGCTACCATAGATGCATATTTGGTAATTAGGGTGTATTTTGCGCACGTAGTTTTAAATTTTTTCTTTCAAAAAGGATTTTATTTAAAAATGTGATCAGTAACTTCATTTCAACAGAAAGGATGGATTTATTTGAAAAGGGATGAGGGAGGAAAATAAGGCCACTAATTTAAACACAGCAATGTGGAACGTAGCATGGACAGGGCAGAGAAGCCAAAAATCGCAAGCTGGGAACTCTTGTTTTCCAGTTCATTTTCAACCAAGCCAGGCAAACTAGGGTTTCCCACAGTGAGCACATTGGTGCTGAGCTCCTCGAGAGCATGGCCAGCTCATCCCAACCAACCATCCTGACTCACCCAGCATCATTTCTGCAGGTGACCCACACGCTCATCAGATTAGTCTGGCCGCCATTCTCTGTCTTGTGCCTCTGCCCACCTGTCTTTAACCTGAAAGGACCTTTAGCATCTTTAACTTCAACTCTTACTCCAACTTGAAGACCCAGTGTAAATGTCACCTCCTCTGTGAAGCCTTCCCTGATGCCCCCAGGTAGTCTGCCTGTTCAGCATGCTGCTCATTTCTCTATCACACTCGTTGTAATGTATAACCTTGGAGTGAATCCCGGGAGCTACAGTAACTGAGTGTGCGGGTTCCAATCTGGCTTTGACATTAGCTGTGTGACTTGGCCAGATTTTTAAATCTCCTTATCCCTCAATTTTCTAATCTGTAAAATGGGGCAAGTAACAGGACCTACCTCACAAAGCTATTACGTGCCTTAAACTAAAAAATACGTGTAGAATACCGAGTGGCAAGCAGGAAGCGTTACTATGACAAATCCTGTCTTCATACAAGATGGTGAGCTCTCCAGGAGAAGGACCCACCTCTACCACAGTTTTATTTTGGAAGTCCCATTGCTTAGCATTGCTCTTAGTACCCACAAAATACTCAATAAACACCAGATGAAATTTTTCTTCCAAATGCAGTTTCAAATATGGAAAAAGCAACAAAAAAGTACAGCATTGATGTGCTTTGGGAAAATTCTTCTTTTCAGAACACTTGAAGTGTTGTCAAAACGTTTTAAAACATTCTCATTTTATATTAAATATCAGCATAACTATTAGAAGGACAAATATACAGGCAATGTAAAAGAATCGAGTGAAATGGATATTTTTTATAATGGTAAAAAGAAACCCTCTGTTGTCTGGAGACAACCTGTGAACACAATGTACGTATGGCTACTTTAAGGATATGCTCTGAAAGGTGGGTCCTCATAGGACTGAAATATCAAAACAAAATTTACCCAGAGTGGTTTGTCGTTCCTCTTGACTAGGGCTTGGTGACATCATAGGAATGAAAGGGCTCCCGCGGGTCTCTAAAGGAGCTGCAGAAGACAAGTCCCAAGGGAGTTAATCTTTGGATTCAGAAGCTAGCACCAGGCCAGAATGACATGACACGAGATTCCTTCATTTGAAATCGAAAAAGGGAAACGTTAAGCGAGTCATAGAGAGGAACGTTCAGTGTGCACAGACCTTCAGGAAAATGATGGTGGACTATTAGAATAATGGTTCTCAACTGTTTTCTCCACCACGAGAGATAATACACGACATTCAGTGCTTGACACATTGCATGACCGTGCCTGGTTAAGATGGGGCGTGGGTCAGACATGGTCCTGGATCTGTCCACTGTAGGTCTCCCACCCGAAACAGCAAACAGGATGAAAGGATGAGTGAGAATATCATCACTGTGTGATCATCTGGAGTCTGCTCAAGTTTATTTTTAAAAATAAACAATTAGCAAATTTCAGTATTTTGACTAATATTAATAATAATTACTTTCCAGCATCTTTCAGAACTTGCCAGTGTGTTGCAACAGTACAGCTGAGAACCACTAAACCAGCAGAAAGGTTAACTAGATGGGCATGAGTAAGGTGGAATCATCCTGAACACAGAGATGAATGAGGTAGGTGAGGACGAACTCGGTAGTGAGCTGTCTTAAGTTGGTCTTCAGAGCAAAGCCTCTACAACGCTGAAATCATTGCTTTTCTATTTTGGAAAAAGTAATAATGAGAATAAAAGGATGAAATGGTTTGAGAAGGATGATGTTTCAATATGATCATTTGAGAAAGACGTGCAGGCCTGATAGTAGCAGAGAAAACAATTAGAGGTGGTCAATACGGGAAAACCATTACCTACTGTTGCCTCTGGGAGGTCAATTCTAAAGGTAACAGGCTGCAGAACTAGGCCAAAAGCAAACCAAAGAAACATGTTTATGAGAATTATTACCTGGTGAAGTAAAAATAGTTTCTGTGTTTCTATGTGCATCCATTCAAGCATTTAAACATTCTCTAAGAACCAAAATAAGTACGAGAAATTCTATATATTAGTTGCCACCCAGGGAACTTAGTTTAGCTAAAACTTTAAAGTTCTCATTCAGTGTCACCTTGAGGAAAAATTTTGAGAAGGCACCCACATTTTTTACTTAAAAGTATACCCACAGTTGGAATGTTTTATATTTACATTTTGAAAGAAGTTCAAAATGGTTGGTTCAGTGAATAATTATCTTATAATTTCAGCATGATCTCCTATTCAATTAAAACACTTCCAGGGAAAATAACTAATTATATACTATTCCCTCATGTTAACCAGGGAAAAAATTCACACGGATTGTATGATTAAACCTTCTCAAAAATAAATATACATTTTATATTGATAATTTTCTCTGAACTTCACCTACATCGCAATCATTAAAAAAATATATTTACCTCAAGAAATATACTTCCTAACTGGAAAATAAAATAATTCATTTACCAGGTTCGCTCTGAGAGACTGCGGGGTCTGGTTTATGGGGAAGGACCACATCTCTCGGAACTGAAAGACAAAGATTATCAAACCCTGTGTACCCAATGTCACAGCTGCAGCGAAACAGCCCACAGATATGAAATTCTGGAAAGCATGGATGAAGCAAAGGCACTTTCACAACGGCTAAAGAGCAAAGCCGAGAAGATGACCATTCTTCTCAAAATGGAAAAACGGCATTATGTAGGGAATGTTCTAGTGGCAGTAAAATAAAGTTGGTCACAGTTCATTCTGAAGCCTCCCTTGAGGAACGAAAAAAAGAGGAAATAACTAATGTAATTCAACACAAGAAAGTAGGTCTCCCTCCAGCTGTCTTCAAATTAGAAAGTCAGTTTCCGCCTGAAGGGGTTAGGTGCCATTTGATATTCATGCTAAAATTCCACTGATAGTCCTAGAAAATACACTGTCTAAGATAAAGTGCATAAATGGTCTGCAAATTGAGGGAAATGGCAAGAAAGGCAAAACTCTCCAGAGTCTAAGAGGAGAACAAAGTCTTATTCTAAAAGGCACTAACAGTTAATAGGGAAGAAAACAGAGCTAAAGCAATCAGCTACCCATTAGAAGGCACCACATGTGGTTTATGAGCGCACTTGTTACAGACTAAACGCTACATAAACGTTGCCGTTCTTGTCATTCTTAGTTATGCGGCTTCCAGTACGTTAGGTGTCAGGGCCTCCTGACATACGAGAACGAGGAGACAAAGGAGAAAATTATCAGCTAAACAACAGACCTACCCATATTCAGTCCCTGAATATATATTCAGATATCCAGTATATCTTGAATGCCTGCACCCATTTCTATGTTGACAAAATAAAACAGTCGGCTGGGAATTTGATATCTTATTTCTCATTGGGGAAAATACCAGCGTGATTTGTCTATTATTAGTACCAGATTTCTATGGCAAAATCTCCTTCCAAGAGCAAGGTAACGTACTTCTTTGACTTAGTTTCCCCACAAAGAGGACCTTCTCAGCCCTACTCCCTCACTGAGAAGTCGTCCCACCACACTGAAGATTTTGTAAATAGCAGAGTCTCTTTGGTAGGCAATGTGATTTTTTTGCATCTTATATGATGCTGGGGAAAAAATTTAGGATTCAGGGTAGAACGCTGCGTCAGAGAAAGATGAAGAAAACTTTTGTACCATGAGGTGGCCGAGCACCACTTTACCATAGATGTAGAAATAGGTCATATAAAATGGACATTCTCTTTCTACTGCCTTTGGGGATCATATTTAACCTGCATATCACATTTGTTCTTAGTCTAGGCCACTGGGTACCAGTGAAATTACAGCTGTGGAATTTGGTTCACTGAACAGAAACTTGACACAGTTAGAACTTCTATGAGCTAAAAGGTAACACCCATGGGAGCTGGGAGAGCTGGATTTTTTTTTTAAAGAAAAAAGCCAACTTCAAAAAGATGGGTGGTTGACAAAGTTAGAGAAAATCCGTCACAATAGTGAACATCTCACCTTTGCTGTGTGGTATTTTGGGGGATTCAAATGGTAAAATACGAGGAATTTCCAGTTGTAAGTCCAACTAATGTTTATCTGGCAGGTGAAGGAGAGGCATTTGGATTCGGCTCTGAGAAGGTCACGACCACACAAAGCAGCGTGCGGTGTATAAATACCCTAACTGGTTACAGCCCCAGACTGTATACACAAAGAGGAGCTGGGATTAGGGACAAGAGAAGCTAAGAAGAAACGTGCTACCATAAATCCTACAGACTGTAAATACGTCACTCGCCGCCTGCTTCGGTTTACTGAGGAACCCAGGCCAGAATGATGTGGATTCCTGCTGCCGCGACTGGCGCTTTTTACCCACGAAGTGATGATTTAATAAACCGCCACAGCAGACTTTCTAAGGCAGGTGAAATCAGTGGAAAGGAAAGAAACAGAAATATTCACAGGAAAGGGATATGAATCATTCTCTTACTTGGCCAACTGCAGCTCCAAGAAAAGCAAGTTTTTTTTTCTCTTTCCTATGTGGCATTCCTCATGTATTAAACTGAACAAGAGCACGATTCCTAAACCTAAATCTTCCCTGCCAGGGGAAACTGATCAATGTAGAGAATGACAATCCGTTTGAGAAGGCTGTTTTGATTTTCTTATAAGAGTATTTACCATTATTATATTTTAGACTCAATTATATTAAGCTTACCATTTATATTAACTAACCAATTATATTAACTGTCTTTTGAATAAAGGGCACCACTCCAAAGAAAAACTCAGCTAACACAAGACAACCATGAGTGGAGTGTCTAATATGGACAAATGTAAATGATTGTGCGAGAATGTTTTGCCAGAGTAGATGAGGGGATTAATGTGTTATTCTCTGATACAGATGGAGGGATCTGAAGTCTTCAGTAAGGTTTATCCCTGCAAGAGGCTGCAAAGAGACTGATTCTCTTAGACCGGTCCTACAGGGTAGACCACACACGCTTACCCTCTAGACTCCTACTCTTTATTCTGACCTTGCACTGTTAGGGCCAGGCTGAGAGGAAGCTTCCTGCCCTGTGGAAGCTACTTCGTCTGTGCTCCCGGCCACCTCCCTCCCTTCTCCTCCGGGACATTTCACTTTCCATTATTTCTGTGATCTTACTTTTTCTCCACTAGTCCATATTTCCATGTATCCACGAGATCCTCCCTCTCCACCTATAAAACAGCCCAAATGCTCCAACCTCCCCAAAATAATTGTCATTTCCTGACATGACCTCCCCTTCAAACCACCCCTCTCTCGCTCTCATTCCTTTAATCAAAAAACTATACAGTCACACGTTGCTTAACGATTGGGATATGTTTTGAGAAATGTGTCATTAGGTGATTCGTCGTTGTGTGAACATCATAGAGTGTACTTACGCAAAGCCTACTGCACACTCTGTGGTACTGATCTTATGGGACCACTGTCATATACGTGGTCCATTGTGTTGTTATGCAGCACATGACTGTCTCTGCCTCTGCTTCCTGGTCTCTCAATTGTGTCTTCTTCATGCACTGTGGTCTGGCTTCCATTTCACTAATCTCCAGCAATCATGGATCCAAGATGCCTTATCCATAGTTCTGAAATCCAAAATGTTCTGATAACTGAAAGTATTTTTCTAACTTATTTGACAGCAAAACTTGACTAGAACTGACCTAAGGGCTATTTACAGTTGTTATTCATCCTGCTTAGTAGGACTCTTCATCTTTCTCACTGCAGACATATTGACATGTCTGTAATTGCTGGTGTCTGTGCTGCTTTACCTTTCTGAAAATTGCTGCATTCTGAAGCATCGGTCCACAGGTTTCAGACGCGGGCTCGTGGACCCGCACTGTCAAGCCCAGCAGCCTTCTGACCACTCTTCGCCTCACTGTCATTGTCCACCACGCTTCCCTGCCTTGCCTGCTGGGTCCCTCTCTCCCGGTGCTCTCCTATCTTTTTCGACAGCAACTTCTGCTGCCTCCTCTTCCTCTGTCCACTCCTTGCATATAACTGTGTCCCCTAAGTCTCTGATCTTTGATCTCTTATTTTCTCAGTCTATACTTTCCCCTGGATATCATCCACTCACAAGATATAAGAACCTTCTATATGTAGGCATGTGACTCCCAAATCTACATCCCAAATCCTGACATCTGTTTCAAAATCCAGAAATACATTTCGGCCACCAGTTAGACATTCCCACTTGAAAGTCCTACTGGCCCTCTAAACCTAGCACACACAAACACAAGCCTTTATCCCACCCACTGTGTTCCCTGCCTTTGTTAGTGGCATTATTATCTACCAATTGCCCGAGCTAGAAACGACAGTGTCATCCTTGTCTTCATAACACCATTCCGTCATTGTCTAGGTCCCAGCACTTCCATCTCCAAAGGCATTTCAGCATGGTTCCCTTACTTCCTACCTGCAAAAATGCTGAGTGTGACTGCAAATTAGAATTTACAAGAAAGAGTAGTTACACAGAGCATTTGTGAGGACTGGATAGCTTGCTGAAATCTAGATTTTCTTCCTGGTTGCTCCCAATGACTGAAGTCTATCCAAATACCTGGGAGCCAGAAGGATCACCACAAAGCCAAGACAGCCCTTGGTGCAGAAACAAATCTGCAAAGAAGGCACAGCTGTGTTGAGTCCTTTGCTCTGAATCTTATATCATTTCTCCAAGGCAGAGCCAAAGAAAAGCCAGTTCTGTTTTGGTTCTGGACATGCTGTGTGGGCTCAGTTTGTCAAAATTCCCCATTAAGTTTTATAGATAATTCAACTGAGTGGCTGGAAGATATTTTCTAACGGCCTAACTAGATGAAAACTGCATCATGCCTAGGAATCTACAGAATGGAAGAGCTGTACAGTGAACCCCACATTGACTTCTTATTTGATACAGGTCTAGAAATTCAAGTTTATTACTTCTGATATCTCTGAGAATAAGTTTTTTATTTATTTATTTTTTTGTGTGAGGAAGATTGGCCCTGAGCTAACATCTTTGCCAATCTGCCTTCATTTTACATGTGGGATGCCACCACAGCATGGCTTGATGAGCGTTGTGTAGGTCCACACCCAGGATCTGAACCCAGAAACCCCGGGCCGCCAAAGCAGAGTGTGCGAACATAACCACTACGCCACCAGGCTGGCCTCTCAGAATAAGTTTTGAGACAAACATCGCAATAAAACATAACTCTGTGCTGACTTCAGCACTACATTTTACACTTTTAGACTTTACAGAGCACCTATTTCTCTAGGATACCAGTGCATATTAAATATACATGCAATTTACCCTGCTTTTGGAGGTATAGCCTGCCGGAGCCAATAAACAAGGTCTTGGGTGCATGAGGATGCAAACCTGAACTTAGATGCAACCCAGAAACTGAACACAACACAATCTACTGTTTGAACTCTTGTGAGAAAATTGAAATGTAGTAACAGTTGTCTTATGATTATTCCTGTTGGTACCACACCCCTGGGGCAAGAGGGGAACTCTGATGTTCATGATGGTGGGACCAACACCAGGGTTAGAGACAGAATTCTGACTGAACTTGTGGAACTGGAGAGTCAAGAGAACAAGTCCACAGAGGCCCCAGGGGGACTGTGTGTGGTCTTCCAGTGCTCGAGCTTACGGCTTCGAGTTTCCGTGAAAAATAAGGTGTTGGTGGAATTAAGGCAAATATTAGACATTAAAAAAGAAGAAAAAAGTTTAACTATTAGATACATTGGTTTAATAACATTAAATCACATCAGAGCCAACAGTGTTACTTTCTTTAATGAAAAGGAAAAGTGAATAAAATCACTCAAATCTACTGTTGTGATCTGTAATGACTTAATTTCTGTTACATTTCTTTTCTGTGACTGAAGACAAGTTGGCCTTTTTGCAAGTGGGAAGATCAGCTTTTTTTAAATTGGTGTTTATAGTATTGGCTGTTGCATTGAATGGTACAAATTTAAATTCTAGACTTCAAGGCAAAGGAGCCTCTCTCTAGCCCACCACCACTGCCACGGCAACAATAACGCCCTCCACTTACACAATCTGGAAAGCATTATAGCAAGTGAATTTGGGCATCCTTCCAAAATATCACCATTTCAAACTACTGCTCAGAAATCCTTTGGTTCTGGGAATGTTCTATATGCTTTTAGGAGCAGCTAGAAATTTATAATAATTGTACTTTTAAAAAGAAGGAGAGAAAACTTATAGTATTTCCCAGATACGCAAGTTAAAAGTGAGCTTGGTTTGGCTTATTGGAGAACTGTTGAGCTAATAGTCGCTTTCTGCGGTCACTTGAGGACCCAGAGCATTGGTGGCCAGACCAGGAATGGCTGGGTCCTTGCAGTCCCCTCCCTGACTACTCCCACAAAAATGAGATTAGTTCCCCATAAATGGACAAAAGGCCTTCTCAGATGATAGGCAAGAAATAGATTTGTAGCTAAAAAAATCATTTTTTTTTTAAACAAATTTCTTGTCTCTTAATCCAAGCTATCGCTCCATGCACTGGTAAAATAGAATGTGACAGAAAAAAACCCCTAAAACCTCAATGCTGATAATGTAAAATTTCTGAACCTAAGAAAATGGTTACACATCATTTCCTCTGTTTGTAAAACATTATTTTATCATTTTTGTGGAAAAATCCAGAATTCTTTATCTTATTTTGGTGAAACATTTGAACATAGCATAGTTAGCTTTGGTAGGTTATTTTTTATGTCAGAAAATAAAAACTTTAGTTCTAAAAGAAACATTCTACCCTTGGCATAACTCTCTGCCTTTTGACTGTATCATTAGCTTACTACGCGAGCACTTGGGTAACTCCTAGGAAACCTATGCAACGACCATACCATGCACGATACACAACAAGGTATCTGAACCTAAGTGAAATGTTGGCCTCACATGCATCAGAAGTTTCACTGCAGCAGAGTGGGACACAGAATGCATTTGGCTTAAACAGGAAATAAAGCATTTACCAGGTGGAGTGTATGACCCTTCTGGACTTGGTGACGTTTTTGGCTTTGAAGTAACAGGCTGGGACATCTTTGGAGCTGAAAGAGAGAACCCAGATCAGGAGTCATTTGGTTGCAGCATCTCCCAGTCACGCACATAGCTTACGACAAAGTGTTAAGTCCGACCACTGACGAAACCAAGTATTGAATAGTAGTTAGATGGAAAAGTAAACTTTAATCTCTAACAATAGATCAGTCAGAATTCTTGATACTTTTAGAAAAATGAAATCTGAGAAACCGCAAAATTTGACTAAGCATAAGAATAGGATGGAGAATTTTTCGAAATCTTTGTTTCAGAAGAGACAGCAATTAAACAAACGCAAAAGTGCTCTTCTTTTCTGGATGTTTGCTTGCCCTCTTAAAGGGCCCCCTGACCTCCCCCCCGATCCCCCCCCTGCCCATGTCTTTCTTTGAGAGTGAACTCAGTGGAGTCAGAGTAGAAGCCTGTGCAGCGTGCAGAAGAGAAGCCTTAAGTGAGCTCAGGCAACAGCAGAAAGGGAACGGGGCCATGGAATGCAATGGGTGGGCTTGCACCCTACTTTCTCTGCAATTCTTAGGCCCCAAATAACCTTTAAACAAACATGTTCACAAACTAAAATTGTCTTTCCACAACTGTTTCTTTGGAGTATCAAGGTGCTAATGTAACAGATACCAGAAAAAAAAGTTCTAACGTATTTATAGCTCATTTTAGAATTTCAAAAATGCTTTCATAAGGATTATGCCCTTTGATTCTCACCGTAACCCTGGGAGGAAGGAATCGTCAGCTTCCCTTGAAAGGCTTGGGTTGGTGCCGTTACCTGCCTGAGGTTACACAGTTATTAAGCACTGGAGACAAGGCGTGAATTGAATGCTGAGCTCCAGACCTTAGCACTAGGTCCAAACACTTGGGCTCTGTATATCCCAGCTCTCCAGGTCACATTTCAACTTGTTTCTCAGTTTTTAGGTGGAAATAATAAACCTGTCCTAACTCAGAGTGTGCCTGTGAGAATTAAATGTGAAATGTCAAAAGCATATGAAAACTATACTCCTATAAAACTTTTTTCTACTTCTAGAGGATCCTCACAAATGTGACATTGAAAGATCTGAGTATATTCTGATTTTCACCTTGTTTGTCCCAACAAAAACTAGGAGCAGCCAGATTTTCGATGGTTATAAGATTTCTAGGTATAAAATTAATGATGGGATTGTTGACCGTTACCTATGAACAGAGGAATCTAAAAGTCAAACCTTTATTCAATGACAAAATATTCTTGATGATTTGTTCCAAGTTTTTGACCCCACTTTGCCCTCAAAAGCTGAATATAGATTTAAATTTTGCTGTCTAATTTATAAACATAGTTTAAGTACAAACAAGAAGAGAAGTGGCATGCCCAATCACAGAATCCATTCTGAGGAAAGCGGTGGTGGTGGTGGGGGTGACCCCATTGGCTCCAGGTTCAGTTGTGTACACCGTTGTCCCATGACACCCTCGTCGCCCAACAACAATAATTTGCATTTGGTGTTGTACATATGAACTGAACCTTCTCCCATCCAACTAGCTTTCTGAAATTTACAAGAGCTAGCCGAGGGTAAGGGAGGAAGTACTAGGACTTGAATATTTGTCTTTGAAATATTTAGTGATACACATACATACATACACAACATCCTTGAACGACTGTATCAACCTAAGGTATTGCTGGGATCTATTAAGTAAGATCACACTCTCTTGGGTAAGAGAGATCCTAATTTCACCCACTTTTAAGAAGAGTGATTAGAATGCATTTCGTTTATCACAATCAATTTTCCAAGTCATCTCCTTGCATTAAGTAGCACTGACAAAGCCAGAAAAATTTGGGTTGCAGCTACTTTCCACAGGAGATGCTGATGGGCTGGGAGTTGCCTCGGTGGGACAGAATCAGGAGGCTCTCCTGTTACAGTCTGGCAGCCACACCAGGGGCTCAGAGTTAGAGTGGAACACACTGAGCATAGGAATCCCTCCATTCTGAAGTTGCACATCTTGTCGAGGAAGGTTGGCTGAAGTTCTAAGTCAAAATTAAAGAAATTTGAAACTTGGAATATAGTATAATAATGGGAAATTAGACTAAGCTCCTGATTTACTAAACTGCATTTTTCTAAGTACAGAGTACAGCTCAAAAAGATAAAATGATGAATGTCTTCCTTGCTACTTCATATCTCCTTCACTTTTTAGCATTTTACTAACCAGGAATTTACATCCCCAAGGTCTTAACTCCCAGCGTTACTTATTTTTCATCTTTTCTCTTATTTTCCAACATTCAATAAATTTTCATGCTTTCTTATTTCGTTCCATTTCTCCTTTCTCTGCTACTTCTGTTCTACGCTTTATATTTAAATAAAAAGTTAAGAGCTTCTTCTCATGTGATTTTATCTGTTGATTATTTAAAGTTAGATTTTAGTTTCCTATCCACAAATTTAGTATACTTGCTTTGTTTTTTATTCCTATTCTATTAATTAGTCATTACTTATTCACTAATCATTAATTATTTTCCCCAGTATTTCTTATGGATTAACGTTTCAAATGTACTTATTGTTATTATTTTAATTTCTTATTCTTTCAGGGGACTGCAAGTTGCCTTGGTACTTTCATATACTTATGTATCACACCCATATTATTTTCATAGCAAAGTTTTAGTAATTAAATAAAACTCATTTTCAAATCTGTTAAAGCAGATTTAAAATCATTAGCTAGTTGTGGAACACAGAACTGTCTCTTAAGGAATTTTCCTACTAAGCAAAAAATAATAGGCAAAATTCCTCTCAGAGTCAGATATTAAAGACCATGCCCAAATCTACAGTTTTTTTCTTTCAGTAGCAATACTGAGATTTGATGAAGGGATTTGTGGTGGGAATTCAGAACTACTACTTGGATCAAGCATAATTTTGATGCTGCTGACATTTTCCTCCCCCAGACGATTAGCGGTAGTGCAAGTTCCTTTCCTCGTAAATTGGGTAGGTGCACCTCATATACTTTTTGGAAGTAGCCGTATATAAATGACAAATTTGGCCTAGACTGTAACTTCCTTGACTATGGAAGGATGCGATTTTGTTTCACACTCCCAGTGTCTAGCACATTGCCTGGCACATAGTCTGCATGCGATAAATATTAGTCGAGTGACTAACTGATGAGATGAATTAGTTAATCAATCACTTAAGCATCAAGGGGAGCTATAATTTGAAATTAGGAGAGAAGAGGGGCAGGAGATCAGCTGGTTAATGACAATTGACTAGGCGTGGCTGGGTAGACGCTTGGAATAGGCACCAAAACTAGAGAAGTTTGGAAGAACCGAATGTACCATACTTAGTAACAGATGGACTGCAGAGGCTGAATGAGGAAGAGAAATAAAAATCAGATGTAAAATGCTGAGGACCTGCCATGGATGTAAATGAGAAATTGAAAGGAAGAAAAAATGAAGAGCTTTCTTTGAGACATGTCAAGTTTATGGTAGCCCAAAGTGGGGACCCACCGAGGCAGTTGGAGAAATTGGACAAGATCTTGGGTGAGAAGTTAGGGTTAGAGTTAGTCATTCAAATAAGAGCTTCTTGAACAGAATGAAAAATAATTTATAATGACTCTTGTTTGAGTCTTTATCAAAATTTTACAGCAAAACAACCAAAACTATATTATGTAATCATTATGTTATAGGAGAGGATACATATATATATATAAATCTTCATGACATAATGTTAAATAAAATCTACTGAAAGGTCAAAGAAAAAAAATTAGGTGACTGGCAGGGGAAGGCACAATCAAGGACTGTGGAAGGGATAGGGATTCTCAAGCCGGGGGAGGAAAAGGGGGTAGACAGCCTACTCTTTTAAGAAATTCCATTCTTCTCCATCCCCCTCTCAAATAATATAACAATAGCGAAGCTTTCTGGAATAAGGTACTCCAATAATATACTTTTTGATAAAGTCTAAAAATAAATCTAAGTATTTATTAGGTTTCAAAGGAAGCTTGTTTTACAAGGGCTAAAAACCCAACTGGCTATAATTCAACAGAATAATTCCACTAACATCAAACTTTTCGGGCCAGAATATAAAATACGTATTTACCTGGCTGTGTTTGTGGGACTCGTGGACGTGGAGACGTTTCTGGTTTGGGAGGAGCATGCGGTGTCTGCTTGGGAGCTAAAAGAAAAGATACAGGTTCGGAGCTCTTGAGCTCTTCAAGAATCCCAGTACCTAAGCCTCCAGGGTCTCAAAGATGTTTGTTGAGTGACTGAAGACCTAAATACACAGCAATTAATGCAATTACAGCTCCAAAAGAGCCACAAAGTATAGAAAGATAATTTTCTTATCCTCTTATAACGGAAAACAAAACAAAACAAGAAGGCACATTAAATGATATATTCAGCTGGCAAATGAAACTGTTGGAATTCCAGAAATATCTGCTTCAAATACCTTTTAAACAGGGTAAAAATAAATTTCATAAGAATAAGAATAAGAATTCACATTATTTTATCAGATTATCTCATTATAATATCTTTAAGTGCACATAGATACAATTTCGTCTAAAAAAGTTAGCATGTTACATTCCAAATATGCCTATTTTAGCAGCAAATGCTAGTGGAAAAAAATCTTATTAAACAAAACACATTTTTTATTGGTTATATTGGGGAAGAGAAAATGAACAGAAATTGAAAGGATACATTACTGAAGAAAGTGATTTCTTTGCTGGGCAATTCCCAAAGAAGTTCTAGGCAAAGAAGTTCTAAAAACCAATGGTTTCTTCACCAAGAAAATTAAAAGTATATCCTGCTGCAGGAAAGAAATTATCCAATGCAAGTTTGCAGATTGTGGAGATACTTCATTTGGTTGGACTAAAGTGTGTTTGGGATAAAGAGAGATAAGGAAAAAAAAAACGATTTTCAAGTTCATGGAGTTTCAGGCACCTTAAGAAAAGATTGCTGAAAATAAGAGTCACTGGATACTAGAAGAAGTTTCTAAAGAGTCTGCAGAGACTTCTTCCTGACACTAAAACAAAATACACAAGGCATGCAATGGTTTCAATGGGATCTTCTTGCCTGTAGAGAGATGGAACACCGAGGTATGCTGGAGATTACACTGGTTGGGTAGCCCGGAGCCTGGACATTTAGAGCTCCCTTTGCTCATCACTGGTGATATAGCCTCAGGTTCTCCATCAAAAGTTAAGATTTTTATGAGCCCTTCCTATCCTAAAATTCTATGATTCTACAGTTTCTTTCAGTTTTATGATTTCTGACTCTCAACTTCCTTGCTTGCTGAGGACGCTACTGATAGGCTCTTTGCTTCGTCCAGGGTCTAAGAAAGATGCCTGAGGGTAAAGGCGTGTTATGAAAAAGTCCATGAAAAATGTTTCAGAAAGAGATAAAAATCACTAACATTCACAGTTAAACATTTTAACAATATTATTACAGCTATTAAAAACAAACTTTGGAAAAGGTGGCGATAACTGACGCAGATTCAGTTAATACAGTCAATGTGTAATTTTTGTAAAAATTAAACTATAGAATTTAATAGGCAACGTTTAATAGGATATTTCAGAGGATGATGAGTAAAATTAATATCCATATCTCCTTTGGAAATTTGTTGTTAGTGCTGTCCTAGCCGCCCAGTGTACAGCAGAGCTGACCGCTGACCGGTCTTTTTGCATCATTCTCTCCCCTTCTGGCGCTCTCTCAGACAAGGCTCCATTGCTAACATAGGGTTTTCCTGGCCAGTTGTTTCAGAAGTAGGTGGCCAGTCCTTCTTCCTAGTCTGTCTGAATCTGGAAGCTCTGCGGAAACCTGTCCACCATGGGTGACCCTGTTGGTATTTGAAATCCCAGTGGCATAGCTTTCAGCATCACAGCAACACGCAGCTGCCACAGTATGACAACCAAAACAAGAGGGGTGTGGTTCCCTGACCAGGACACAAACCCGGGCCACGGTGGTGAGAGTGCTGGATCTTCACCACTAGACCCCCAGGGCTGGCCCTTTGGGAGTAGAGCCACATAAAAGAATTCAGTGGCAACTGAAACAGGAGTTTGGGCTTATTTATGATAAACTGCTATTCCAAATGAGCCTACGGATATCAAGAGAATTTTTCCTTGTAAGAAGCAGCACATTTAGTTATCTGTGTTGATGATTTGTTTTCCTTCATTTCAAACTCCACCGTCAAATGAACCTTTAGGACTCGCTAAAGTAACTGGTTCGATTTCAGTTTCTCTGAACTGTACGCAGTGAAGTGGTCAGACCACCACAGGAAGGAGTGGAAAGAAGTACAAGACCGGAATAATAACAAGGTGACTGGCCAGTTATACCTCTCCATGCGGGTTACACAGTGAAGCCTGGTTCTGGAGGTCTCCGTCAATGCCAAACGCAAATTAGATATCTTAGAATACTCTTTATGTGACCATAGAACTTGTAAAACTAGTCAAGATGATAAAATGGAATATAAATGTTCTTCCCCGGAATCATTACTATGGCCTGTATTCAACACTTGCACAGTAGCTGAGAGGTGTTTTTCAGCCATCTCCTAAAGAATATTTACAACACTGCCACAGGGCCAGCCACAGATTACGGACAGAAGGAGAAGTGGGGCACCAGGAAGGTAGCACTCCCATCAAAGACTGAGCGTAGTGATTAGGCTAAGGTTTCTAGTGTCTAGTAGTGCCCATATTATCTTTCCATTCTTATAAATTCTGCAAACACTCACCTTCTACATGAAATACAAAATAACGTATTTACCCGGTTCGGTCTGAGGCTCATCTGGGCTGGGTAGGATTATAGTTTGGGAAGGCAGAGGTGATGTATCTAAGGTAATTGAAGGAAAGTACCCGAGGTTACTAGAGTGCTTCACACACCTTGAGTACAGATGACAGAAATGATGGAAACAAGTAGATTTTAAAAAAATAAAGAAAATTGTAAGTCTGTAGCAAAATAGCATTCCTATTTCTTCATAATGCATTTAATTTAAAAAATGCTTAGAGATGCCAAGTTACAAAATACTTTCAAAATAAGAAATATCCTTATTTTTTAAATCCTCACTCCACACTAGTACCTCCTCAACAATGCTAGAAAGATATATTCAGTGGTAAGCATAAAGAGAAAAACAAAGTAATAAAAAAATGTTAAAGCATAAGTCATTCAAGGATTGAATTTCACTTAAATAATGGAGGGGAAAAAAACCAAACATTCAATGAATGTGATGGAATGAATGTTAATGGAAAGTATGTTGCTAGGGCAGAAAGTATGAATGGATCATTATACAAAAAAATATTATCTGAAATATTCCACACAATATCAAGGTGGCAGAATATTCAATGTTAGGAAAAAGATGCTTCAGATTCGAAAGTTTCGCTGACTTAAGTAGAGAGAGAGACCAAGGTCTAGATACGAAACTGAATGGGAGGAGAGACTTTTTGGACAATGGTTATGAATAGAAGCACCTAGAAAGAAAATTAGCTGCTGTGACAAAGAATGATGTTGGGACATGAATTCATAGTGAGCGAGAACCTGAGGTTCTCAGATGGTGGCGGCAATGAGGCCAAGGCTGCTGAGGTGTGTCATTACCTAGCGTGGTCTCGGGTGGTTCAGACACATTTGTAACAGACTCCACAACTGTATCAAAACAAAGGAGAACAATTTAAAAAATGGTAAGAGGTTAAGCCACAGACAAGTATTTCTTTCTTGAAGATCAACACATCTCATGCTCTTAAGAATTTGCATCATATTTTTACAGATAGGACAATGGATTTAGACAAGAAAAAAGAGAGAACCAAGAGGGAAATTCTATTCTATAATACAAATCCTCTAACTAATATTCATGTTTTAACTGGCTGTCAAATATTATTATGCCTCAATATTTAGATCCTATAGAGAAACTGAAATTTATCTCTGTATTCAGAGTCAGTTATCATTTTAATTTTAAGAATCCAAGAATTTTGGAAACTATAGCTCTTCAAATCTATTCAGTTGTAGAATAAACACCACAGCTTGAAGTTTCCTGTTCCATGGACATAATAGATGCTAATTAAAAATTTGTTGAATAAATGAATCAAGCATGAAAACTTTTACCACCTTCAGTCTTTGGCTCCTCTGGCCTGAGCGGGGCTTTGGCAGGGGGATACACATAATCTGTTTTGGCTGGTGCTAGGGAGGAAGCGGGGATGTCTGGTTAGTGGTGGGCAGCCCGCAGCACACTGCAATGAACACTGTGCTTAATTTGAAAAAAGAGGTTAGTTACCTTAAGTAGACACATTCATGAGAATAACATTTAGGCAAATTATGAAGATGACTACAATTTAAGATGGCAGAAATGAAGGCAGTGTGCTGTGCAGGAAAAACACACACACACACACACACACACACACACACACACACACACAATAACTGGCAGAGTCTACAGCAATTTCTACCTGGAGGAAAGCAGATCATTTCACTTCCTTATGTATTTTTAAGGATTCTAGTGAGAACAAGGCATAGAGTGAGTCCTTGGAAAGCATGGAGCTGAATACTAAAAACAACATGGAAATAAAAGATAGGATGTGCATATTCGTATGCAAAGAGTGGTCATAACATTAAAAAATTAAATTTTGCATTCAGAGGGAGAGGAAACGAAGGAAATTGTGCAACTTGTGTAGCAAAATGGCAGACACTAGCACAGTGCGCTGTATGTGATATCTGCCTCTCAAGATCCACTGGATGAGCACAGACAAGATGTGAGGAGCTACGAAATGTCACGAAGCAGGAGGACGTCTGACGAGGACTTCTGCCACGCGATGGACAGGCACATGTACCTGACCTCCCATGGGGAACAGTTTTACCTATAGCTTCCATTGATGACTCAGTAACCGAAGACTGACTAAACGTAACCGATTCCAGGACTTCCGAAACTAGCAAAAAACACGAAATGATACAATCGATCAAGGATGGGTTGTTGTGAGCATTGAAGGAATGAGTACAAACTCAGTATTAAGAACAGTGCCTTGTACCTATAAGTGCTCAATGTTAGCTGCTATGATAATAACAATATTATTAACACTAAGGGAAGCTCTAATAACCGAACTGAATTCACAATTTTCTAAGTGTTGTAGGTTGACAACTATACCTTGTACCATCCACATGAGAACCAAAATGCCATTTAGCTAATTGAAAGATGCACAAAGG